TATGTCAGATGTATATTGGCTCAGTCCGGAAAGGCAAGACAACTCAAAGTGGGGAGGGGCATCAGGTCATAGGTAGATAGGAGACTTCTTTTGAGTTTCTGATTAGCCTTTTACTGAATCAAAGGTAGCAATCAAATATGTACGTAAGTGAGCAGAGGAATCACTTTGAGCTCTCTCTGTCCTTTGTCCACAAGGAAGTTCCTTGTGGGTAACTTGTGAGGGAGATATGTAGCTTTTTTTTTTTNGGTGTATTATAGGAGGCATATTGCTCATCTCCAAAATTATCTGCTGCTTGCAGAACTATTAGCTCGTGTTTTTTTTTTTTTTTTTTTTTTTTTTTAAATCTGGGGCCGGGTGCAGTGGCTCACACCTGTAATCCCAGTGCTTTGAGAGGCCAAGGTGGGCAGATCACTTGAGGTCAGGAATTCAAGACCAGCCTAGCCAACATGGTGAAACCCTAGCTCTACTAAAAATACAAAATATTAGCTGGGTATTGCGGCACATGCCTGTAATCCCAGCTATTCGGGAAGCTGAGGCAGGAAAATTGCTTGAACCTGGGAGGCAGAGGTGGCAGTGAGCTGGGATTTCGCCACTGCACTCCAGCCTGGGCAATAAAGTGAAACTGTCTTAAAAAAAAAAAAAATCTTTGTAGCTATTTTGTCCAGTGCAGTTCCCAGCTTGACTTTTCCCTTTGGCTTAGTGATTTGGGGGTCCCAAGATTTATTTTCCTTTCACAAGGTTTAACCTGTATGTGTGATTCTCTGCAGGCCCCTCAGGAAGAAATTTAGAATGGGGAATAGTGGTCAGAATTCAGTCCTCACAGTGGTCAGCATTTTCTATCTGGGTAGGGGTCCTGGTTTCTGAGAAACAACACAAGAACCTATGTTAAGATGTTTTCTTGAGTTTCTATAGGGAACTGAACATTTTATAACTCTATCTTATTTGGGTGACTATTACTTAAACTATTATTACCTTCTCATTTAGCGGGTCTGAAGGCTAGCAAGGTGCCTGGAATTTCCCTTGAAGGAACTTGAGTTTTTCTTTATTTTGATGCTTGAGGGGGCTGGCAGGCCCCTAAGAGTGTTCCTTGCTCTGTCTCAATGCCAGTTTATTGTGGAGTGAAAAGAGGGAGTTAAGGACAGGAGGCAAGACCTACTGATGGTTCAAAAACTGACACAGGTGGAAGTGTGGATGTGAAAGTGAAAGAAGTCCACAGAACTCATCACAAGGTGAAGGTGGTCCCAGGCATCAGAACTGATTATCTAATGAAGTGAAGGAGTAGAAAGTCATACTGTTTTATAACAGGGAAACTTAGACAGGCAGGGAGCCATCATCCCCAGAAGTTTTCTTGTACCTGCTGGGCAGGGTGTCAGAGCCCTAGCAATGGAAAGTGACTGGCCCGTAGGGAATAAGAATTTACCGACAACAGTATAGGTTTGAAAAGGAAAGTTTTATTAGATTGAGAGAAAGCTGCAGAAGAGTGCAACGAGGCGCCTCAGCAAGAGGATGGAGCGTGCTGGCGAGGATTTTCCTTAGGGGTATTTATGGATCTTAAAGCAAGAGCTTAAGGGTAATTTGGACCATCTTAGCCATGTATGTCATGATAAATGATTACATTGGTAGACATTTTGGTGTTGTAATGTCAGCAAATTGTACAATGAGCTTCATCATGCATGCATCCTGGAGATGTATAGATGTAGAGCAATTCTAGTTACATATAAATTTTGGGGAAAGAAGCCTGGACCGGCTTTAGATATAGGGAAGTCTAATTACTCCTAAACTCCTCAGATAAAGAGTTCTGCCTCTGGATGGTCTGCTTCATGGCCACAAGATGGTCTTTGCTCCCTTTAGGGGCCCCTCCCTCCTGGCCTCCTCATCTCCAGGCAATGTTTATGTCACTGTAGATTCATTAGCATTTTGAGAATTTTATATAAGTGAGCCGGGCGTGGTGGCTCATGCCTGTAATCCCAGCAATTTGGGAGGCCGAGGCAGGCAGATCACGAGGTCAAGAAATCGAGACCATCCGGGCTAACAGGGTGAAACCTTGTCTCTACTAAAAAATAAAAAAATTAGCTGGGCGTGGTGGCATGAGCCTGTAGTCCCAGCTACTCGGGAGGCTGAGGCAGGAAAATTGCTTGAACCTATGAGGTGGAGGTTGCAGTGAGCCGAGATTGCGCCACTGCACTCCAGCCTGGCGCCTGGCGACAGAGCAAGACTGTCTCAAAAAAAAAAAAAAAGAATTTTATATAAGTGAAATATACAGTAGTACTCTTTTTTTTTTTAAATCCTTGCTTTCATTCAGCATAATTATTTTGAGATTCACTCATTTTTTGGGGATATCAATCATTTATTCCTTTTTCTTACCGTTAAGTAGTATCCGATTGTAGGGCTATATCATGATTTATTTATCTACTCACTTGTTGATGGATACTCATATGAGTCAGGGTTCTCCAGAGAAACAGAATCAATACACACACTCACACACAGACATGCACATGGAGAATTATTTTAAGGAATTGGCTCACACAATTGTGGGGGCTGGCAAGTCTTAAGTCTGCAGGAAAGGCTGGTAGGCAAAAGTTGATGTTACAATCTGGAGTTGAAGGCAGTCTGGAGGCAGAAGTCCTTTCTCTTTGGGGGAGCTCAGTCTTACCTCTTAGGGCCTTCAACTGATTGGATGAGGCCCATCCACATTAAGTAGGATCATCTGCTTTACTCGAAGTCAGTTGATTTCAGTATTAATCACATCTAAAAAGTACCTTCACAGCAACATCTCGGCTGGTGTTTGACCAAACAACTAGGCGCCATATGCTAGCCAAGTTGATGCATAAAATTAGCCATCACAGAGTTGTTCCTAGTTTTTGGCTATTACAAATAAAGCTGCTGTGCATATTTGTGTACAATTCTTTGTACTGAAGGAAATAAAAATATTTTACTCCAAGATATATTTCTTTGACAGTCTGAAGTGGCACTGCAAAGCTGTCTTTTCTGGGGGAACTGTGCATTGTGGAGAATCTCCATAAATGCAGCCAGGCCTTCCCTTGTCCAGATCTGGGGGAGAATAATGGAGTCTGACACCTGTAAAGATCTGGAAGAAACACTTACCATCTATTTTCTCTGAGAGCTGCTCTCTGTGAGATTTCATCTACATAACATGATCCCCTTTGCTAGCTGAGCCTCCTCTTCTTCCCCTACCATATCCTGTCTTGCCACCAAAACCTGACTTACCACCATAAGCTTTGTTTTTCTTTGTTTTTTTTTTTTTTTTTTTTTTTTTTTTTTTTTTTTTTTTTTTGCGATGGAGTCTTGCTATGTCACCCAGGCTGGAGTGCAATGGCGCAATCTTGGCTCACTGCAATCTCTGCCTCCAGAGTTCAAGCAATTCTCCTCCCTCAGCCTCTCAAATAGCTAGGACTACAGGTGTGTGCCAACATGTCTGGCTAATTTTTTGTATTTTAGTAGAGATGGGGTTTCACCATGTTGACCAGGCTGGTCTTCAACTCCTAACCTCAAGTGATCCGCCCCCTTGGCCTTCCAAAGTGCTGGGATAACAGGCGAGAGCCACTGCACTCGGCCTCGTAAGCTACTTTCCTTGGCCGTGCTCTGAGCCTATATTGTTTCTGTGAACTCAAAATATCTGATAGGTCTCAATCAATTTAGAAAGTTTACTTTGTCAAGGTTAAGGATATGCCTGTGACACGGCCTCAGGAAGTCCTGATGACGTGTGCCCAAGGTGGTCAGGGTATGGCTTGCTTCTATACATTTTAGAGGGATATGAGACATCAATCGATATGTGTAAGATGTACATTGGTTTGGTCCAGGTAAGGCAGGACAACTCAAAGCAGGGGCTTCCAGGTCATAGGCAGAGAAGAGATAAAGGCTGCATTCTTTTGAGTCCTTGATAAGCCTTTCACTGAATACACAATTTAGTCTGGCTCAGTGAATCTGCATTTTTACATAAACAATAGGGCAGAGGAAGCAATCAGATATGTGTTTGTCTCAGTTGAGCAGAGGGATAACTTTCTGTCCAGCACCTGTGAAGATAAGCTTTTCCTTGTGGGCAAATTGTGCTTGGTAGTTATCTTATTTAGGAAGTAAAATGGGATACAAGTTTGCCTGCTGTAGTTCTCAGCTTGACTTTTCACTTGGCTTAGTGATTTTGAGGTCCTGAGATTTATTTTCCTTTCATATTTCTGTGACCCTAGAACAACATATGGGGCCGGTCACGGTGGCTTACACTTGTAATCCCAGCACTTTGGGAGGCCAAGGTGGGTGGATCACCTTAGGTTAGGAGTTTAAGACCAGCCTGGCCAACATGTGAAATCCCATCTCTACTAAAAATGAAAAAATTAACTGGGCGTGGTGGCACACCTGTAATTCCAGCTACCTGGGAGGCTGAGGCAGGGGAATCACCGAGAAATGGAGGTTGCAGTGAGTCGAGATCACATTATCGCACTCCAGCCTAAGTGACAGAGCGAGACTCTGTCTCGGGAAAAAAAAAAAAAAAGATGGCATATGAACTGCTGTACCTCACTGTGGGGCTGGGTCTTTGTTCTGAAGGCTCGTATGTATACATATGAAATAAATGTGTGTGATTTAACTTTTGTTAATTAATCTGCCTCATGTCAGTGATTTTCACTGAACCTCCTCAGGGCCAAGGACTTTGGCTCCTACAGCATGGACATAGGGTTTCATTTCTCTTAGGGAAATACCTATGAGTGGAATGACTGGGTTATACATTTGTGGTATGTCTAACTAAAAGGCTCCCTTCCAAACTGTTTTTCAAAGTGGTTGGACCATTTTACATTCCCACCAGCAGAGTATGAGAGTTCCAATTGCTCTTATATCGTCTCCTGTCTTTTTTAATTGATATCATCTGTCTTTTTAATTTTAGACATTCTAATAGGTATGTAGTACTATCTAATCATGATTTAAATTTGCATTTCACTGATGATAATGATGTGCCCCATCTTTAACGCAACATTTCCCTTTACTTGCAGGTTATTTTGCTTTGCAAGTTGGAAAGGCAAGATTAAAATACAAAGTTACGCCCCCAGCAGTCACTGGATCACCAGAGTTTGAGAGAGTATTTCGGGCACAGTAAGTAATGCTTCTTCCACCCTTCATGACTCTGTGCCTGCCATAGAGATAGAATTCCTGACTAGGGGGAAGGGGTATGGAGAAGACTAAGTTCATGTGCAACATCTAGTTATAACAAGTCACTCTTCACAGCCAAGACCCTTCTCAGAATCCATAAAGTTTAAAGGGTTCAGTGCTCGAAGTCTCTGCCCTCATCTATGACCAATTCAGCAGGGCATATTTGCAGAAAAGGCTGGGATCTCAGGAGGGACTGCCGTGTCTCCCAAGCATGGTCGCTGGGTCAAAGAGGGCCCCTGGAGCCTTGTGAGATTGCAATAGTCTGAAGTTGATTAGTTACGCCACAATTTTCTATTTTTATTCTTTCTTCCTTATTTCAAAACAGAGGTAGATCAGTATTAATCTTCTACTGGTTTCTCCATGAACCATTTCTTAAAGCCAGATACCTGTAAGAATGAGAAAGCTTTCCAGCTCACATGGATGCGCCATGTTTTTGATCATCTTGTCCTCCTTGTTTTTTCAGACCCACACAGAATGTTCCACCATAAACACCGTGAACTTGCCTGCTGCAAGACACTAGGGCTTCCTTTATATTTCATCCCCCAAAATAGGTGCTTTAAAAAACATTTCATGCTTTACTACTGATATGTCATTTTGTTAATATCTTGGGATTTTTCCTTCATATTTATGAGTGAGATTGGCCTATACTTTGCCTTTCTTGTATTGCTCTTGTCTCATTTTGCTATGGATGAACCTAGTCTCAAATAAGTTGGAGGAAGCATCCTGTTCTATTTTCTCAGAGAATTTTAATAAGATTGGAAGAGTGTGTTCCTTCAAGGTTGTGTAGAACTTGCCTTAAAATAATCCGGGCCTGATGTTTTTCTTGTGGAAAATTTTTAAATTATAGGATTTGCATTCTTTAATGATGATTGGACTAGTCAGGCTTTTTATTACATCTTGAATCAATTTTGGCAGGCCATGGTCCTTGAGATGATAGCATTGGTCTCTTGATTACCCACTTGCTCCAAGGAGGGTTTTACAGACGACTCCCTAGGCTTGAAAGTGTGGGGTGAATACCACTGAGGGTACACAAGATAATTGTAAGAGGTGTATAGACTTGGTTTTAAATAACATTGAACTACATGATGAGAAGTCATTCTCATTTCAATTATCTTTGAATCCTGATGGTTATGTCAAGTGGAAAGTATTGGTTTGGCGCCAGCATGTCCCACACCTCAAAATTAATGTTTATTTTTATCAGAGTAAGACATGTACGTGATCTGAAAATAAAGTGGGATTACAGGTTTTTATGACAATAAATAACTCTTCCTTGTCCCTACCTCCTCTCACCCTCTGTCTATCGCTACAGATAACCCCTTTTGACTACTGCTATGGGTATTTACTTCTGTATTTCTAAATATTATACTTTCACTATTTATTGATTCACAAATTTTAGACATTGTCAGCTGGCTTCTTTTTATGGAAGAAAGAATTTCATGCTCCTTCCTCTTTTCCTTACCTTATCCTTCCAGTTACATTATATCACTCTGTTGAGGTAAACCAATAGCTGATGTTTATATTATTGTGATTAAGTAAATAATGTTGAAAGCAGAGGCAAATAGTATACAGTGGTTACATTTCCTTTCTGTGCAATTTTTTTCCCCTAGGGTTAATAATTGTCTCTATTTCTTTGCTTACTTAGTTTCATTCTCAAATCTTCTGCAGAACTGAAATCTCCTTTTGTTAAATTCAAATGCATGAGGTAATCTAGTAATACGTTTTTCTGTCTTGGAGTCATTTCTGCCTGAGTTCTCTTTTTGCTCCAAACTGCGGGATGCTCTTGGGGCTTGCTGCACAGCTGCTATCCTGGGACTTCCTGTCACCATCCTAGAAATTTCCCTTATACTCGCCTAATTTGGATTTCCTGGACCTCCTGTTTTCCTATTTATTGGCTTGCTTTCTTATTTTGGTGGAGCATGCCCTTCAGAAGCTCCCTGAGAGAGGGCAAATGTTTGATAAAGTTTTGAGACTTCACATATCTGAACGCTACTTTATCTTGCCTCACTGTTGAGTGATGGCTTGTTTACATATAAGTTTCTTTATTTTATTTTTTTCTTGAGATGGAGTTTTGCTTTTGTTGCCCAGGCCGGAGCGCAATGGCATGATCTCGGCTCACTGCAAGCTTCGCCTCCCGGGTTCAAGTGATTCTCCTGCCTCAGCCTCCCAAGTAGCTTGGATTACAGGTGCCCACCACCACGCCCAGCTAATTTTTTGTATTTTTAGTACAGACGGGGTTTCACTGTGTTGGCCAGGCTGGTCTTGAACTCCTGGCCTCAGGTGATCCACCCGCCTCAGCCTCCCAAAGTGCTGGGACTAGAGGTATGAGCCACTACTCCTGGCCCAGAATAGTTTTTAATATTATTTTCCCCCCAAATTTCCTCTCCTTTGTTTTCTCTATTCTTTTATTCTTAAAACACATACTAATTGTGTGTTAACCTCTCGGACTGATCCTCTAGTTTTCTTTCATCTTCAGGTTTTCATATTTTTGGATTTTTGTTCTTTCACAGGTTCCTCAACTTCTAACTTCTTACTGAAATTTCAGATGTCATAATTTTACTTTCCAATAACATATTTTATTCTCTGATTTTCTTTTTAGTTGTTGGTGCTGATGTTAAACCATCACTTTTTTTATTTCAATGATGCAGTTTATTCTCTTATATTTGAGGATTTTAATTATAATTTTAAAAAATTCTCTGTCACATTTCTATTTCTTCCAAGTGCCTTCTTGTCTATTTTGGCCTTTGTTTTTCATCTGTATTTATTATTTACCCATTACGTATTTATCGAGCACCTCCATGTACTGGGCATTGTTACAATAGCTTGGCCTATATCCATGAACAAATCCAACAAAAATCCTTGACCTCTTGGAGCTTACTGAGGAAGCCAGAAAATAAATAAACAATAAGCAGATGTTATTATAAGAAAATAATATAAGCTGGGATGGTAGCTCACACCTGTAATTCCAGGGACTCAGGAGGCTCAGGCAGGCAGGACTGCTTAAGGCCAGGAGTTCAAGAGCAGCCTGGGCAACATAGCAAGACCCCCTTTCTCTATTAAAAAATTTTTTTAAATTAGGCATGTGTGGTGGTGCATACCTAGCTACTTGGGAGGCTAAAGTGGGAGGATTGGTTGAGCCTAGGAGCTCAAGGCTTCAGTGAGCTGTGATCATGCCACTATACTGCAGCCTGGGCAACAGAAAAAGACCCCAACTCAAAAAAAAAAAAAAAAGAGAAAATCATATATTATGTTAGAAGGTAATTGGTGCCAAAAACAGAAAGAAAAGACAAAGGATAGCATTGTAAGAGGGAATGGGTGGGTTCCTATCGGGGGGGGGGTGAGTTGTGTGGTCTGTGATGTACAACAGGGCCATGGGTGTAGGTCCCACTGAGAAGGTGGTATTTGCAAACAGGTAAAGACAGAGCTCTTAGATCAGAGAGAGTAGTCAGGGAGAATCCCCTAACTGGGGATATGCCTAGTAGGCTAGTCAGGAGGTCAGGGGATGGCAGAGGAGGAGCCTGGCCGGGAGTAGGACAAGTCAGAGAGGTTGTAGATGGCTGGGTCACACTGGGCCTTAAAGGCCACTGTAGGGGACTTTGGCTTTTTCTCTGAGTGAAATGGAAAGTCATGACAGGGTTTTAAGCAAAAGAGTAACATGATCTTACATTTTAAAAGGATAACCCTCTCTGCTTTGCTGAGAAGAGTCTGTATGGAGGCAGTGGTAGGAGCGGAAAGTTCATTTAGAAAGCTATAGCAACAATGCAGGCAAGAAATGATGATGGCTGTATGGCAGAATTTTTGCTCCTTAGCTCAGCTAAAACTGGGCTCTTGTCACGTGGCCAGGAAAGATTAGGTGTGTGGACACATTGAAGGGTGAATAGAGGGGAATTTATTGGATGTAAAGAAAAACAAAAAAACAAACCTCTCAGCAAAGTGGGAGGGGGTCCTACTCACAGATTCCAGGTCACTAGCACGAGCTGAAGAGACCAGGCTCCTCCCAGAGCACAAGGTGCGAACTTCCGTGGCTTTACCCCGTTCCCTCAGTGCGCTTGTGGGGATTATTCAGAAAGAATCAGTGGGGAAAGGGCAGGCAAACAGGGGCAGTTCTCTCTCAGGGTGGCAGGTTTCATCCGGGACCAGTAGTCCAGCATTCCAGCCTTCTGGCTGTTTTAGACTTGAGGGTCTGGTTTCACCAGGGACCCTTGACGGTCTCCTGTCTCTGTCAGCTAGAGCCAGGGAGATAGCCGTAAAATGATGGGAAGTGGTCAGGCCCTGGATATGATCTGAGGGTAGAGCCAGCAGAATTTTTTGACATAATGAATGTGAAGTGTGAGAACAGTCAAGAATGATTCTTGGATTATTGGCCTGAGCATCCATCCCAAAGGATGGTGTCCCAATGATCTGAGATGGAGAAGGCTACAGGAGAAGCGCTTTTGAGGAAGCATTAGGAGGTTCAGTCTTGACTTACTGTGTTTGAGATGTGACATATATCACCATCAAGGAGAGGCCTTAAGCTTTATGATCTGCTAAGCTATTTGGATTGTTTATGATTGCATCATAAGCTGATAAATACATTGTTGTTTACACCTCCAAGTAGAGAGGCAGCTGGATAAACAAATCTGCATTTTAGGAGAGAGATCTGAGCTGGAAATATAAATTCATGCTTCATTGGTACAGGAAGATGACTTACAGCCATGAGACTGGATGAAATCACTTAGGGGAGTGTGTGTAGGTGTGTTAGTCCGTTTTCATGCTGCTGATAGAGACATACCTGGGATTGAGCAATTTACAAAACAGGTTTAATTGGATTTACAGTTCCATGTGGATCAGGAAGCCTCACAATCATGGAGGAAGGCAAGGAGGAGCAAGTCACATCTTACTGGATGGCAGCAGGCAAAAAATGAGAGAGCTTGTGCAGGCAAATCCTCTTTAAAAAACCATCAGAT